CAAGCCAAGGCTTTCCCTCTGCCATCTCCCCACTTCATCCCTAAGGTTGAGGGTTGAGTTTCCTCTCTCCATATTTACAAAACCCAGGCAGGTTGGGTTGCTGGTATGATGCTATCTGGGACAGTCTTATCTAGCTATAAAGTATGAATCAGAGATTACACCACACAGGGCTGGTGCCAGCCAGGCGGGCTGCCATATTGTCAAGTAACCCAGTGGTTGAACCAGGTTGGGTTGAGTAATATGCACCAATGGGAACTGAGTTTATTAATCATGCAGCATAGTACACTGTTGACGAAAGTGTAACTCTGAAGGCCTGATGTGATTGGAGAAGGTGCAGGTGGGGCTGGATGCTAACTATGAAGACACCCAGTGACGCTATCTTCCTCTGATAATATGCACTTGAAAAACACATAGAAATCTGGAAAGGAAATGTCTAGTTTAGCATAGAGGTGGATTATATGCTCAATCATTAGGACTTTTCAGCCATCTTGGATGCCCTTTGTTAACAAAGGATACCTCCTTGGGGCTGTAGTTGTTTGGAATTCTGAAAGTTTCATGAGGTGAGAGAAGGGAATTCAAGATGGCAGCCAGTGACCTGGAATTGTGTGGGTGAGAAAATTTAAGATTCCATACTGCATTCTCTTTATTGATCTCTCACTTCAAAAACATTCTTTTCTAAGGCCACAGCCCACCACCTCCACCCTGGTCTGCCCTCAACTTCTTGGTAACTACAGCCAAACAGAAATACCACCCACATTTTTCAGTGTGATGGGCCTGACTGGGGCGGCAAGAGAAGTTCCTGTCACTGTATGGTTTCTTCAGGCATGGAGACACTGTCCCCCAGTTGCAACGTGGTGCTACATTTACATAGCCCAGGATCAGACACCAAGCCCCTAAGCTTCAATGAGGCAGATGATATGCGAAATACATGACACAGAAGTCCAAGTGAGTGAGTGTTTTAGAGGGCAGGTAGGAAGAAAGGGAGAAGATAGGACTGATCCGTCCAAAGACTGTTCTAGAACAAGTCTCAGGAGGATAGAGGATTCTAAAACCTAAAGGGAAATAAGGTGAGGGAGCAGGATGGAGACGGGGGCACATGAAGAAAGTGGAGGGTATGTATCTCTTTCAGAGAACGAGAGAAAGCTCTAGGGCTGGCAAATAAACTCAGTTATGAAAGGGGAAGGTTCTGGGCAAGAAAGCTCATAGAGTAAGGGAAGCATCACTTTTATGGGAGATAGAAGTTGTATGATGCAAGGGGTTAATGCTATATAAAATATTCCCTGTATGTTCTCCAAATCCCAAATGTTCTTTCTTCTCTCAGAAGCATCGGATCCCTGGGTAGTTCATAAGAGCAGCTTTTTCAGCCAAGACCATCTTTCTCAGGCAGCTACAAACAGTGAGGCCTTGAGAGTCCTGTCCAAGTGGGATTGAAGTTGTATAATTTTTAAATCTGATTTTCCCCAATTATCTGACCACAACAGAGCCTCCAATCTCTCTGGTTATCTTGCCAACCTTGAAGAACCCCTGTCAAGTCTCCACCTGTTTTTCAGGCTTCAAAACCTTTAGCAAGAGCACTACTCAGTGTGGCTGTAGTGACTCTATAGGGTCCTGTTCTGGTGCCCCTGTTACCTCGAGAGAGAGAGTTCATAAGCCAGGAGATCCCCTCCCTTCCACCCTCAATACCCATTAGAAACCAGGAAGAAAGGTTCTAGAAGTTTCCAGTCACTAGTCCTGATTCCCATGAGTTTATCTGATCTGCCTAATCTCTCTGGCAGTGTGAGACTCCCAGAAGGGTGGAGGAGAATCCTATCCTCCTAGAACCACAGTAAACACTCGACACTGGATTTGAAACACCGGAGCGCGCAAAATTCTGACCAACTTCTAACATTGCCAAATTCCTTGTTTTACATTGAATTTACAGAGCAATCACAGCAAAACCAGGCATAGGAAGCTACCGAGCCAACCATCAGCCAAAAACAAAACGAGACAAAAAACAGGCCAAACCAAAACTTTATACTATGAAAACAAGAAATAAAATAAGGAGATTTATAGGCCGGCTGATTGTCAGCAAACACAATATATTTACTGTATTAGCATTTGCTCACAGTGCAAATGGTACAACATTACACCATTTCAATATTTCGGTTTTTAAAAATGCTGTTTTCATTAACTATATTATATTGGCATAACAATGTGACAAAGGAGCAAATGAAATATTGGTGAAGAATTTCACCTTTTCACAATATCAAGCATATTTTGTTAACCTTAGTATAAGGTACTATAAATCCAAGAAATAAAAACATCCACAAAATATATTACATCTGGTTTGTCTTTTTCTAAGTACTCAACTTTATACAAAAGTCTTTCAAAAAATATCATTCCCCATAGGTTTTCCTGTTTAAAACCTGATTTTTTTTCTCTCAGTTCACATAAGTTAGAGTGCATTTTCTTTTGTTGTTTTTTAAAACATGCAGACATATAAAAAATCTGGATAGCACAACCTTTTGGCAACAAAGTTATTTTTCTCTTAGTTTAAGCTTAAATGTCTGAGAACAGTTTTATTAAAACAAAGGAAAACTCAGATGATCATGCAGTGGCATGCATAAACCAGAAGGAGCAAGGAAAAAATATTAAAGGATATTTGATTCCTCCTTCCAGCTTTGAAGTGACCAAAAATTTTGTTTTTAATAATCATCACATTATAAAAAGTATTCAGCAAAATACTGTCTCTGCAAAGAAAGATTTTACCCTTCAGCTGAAAAAATATGGGCCCTCCTGGCAAACTTCGTCCTCTTCTCTTTCCTTCTACAAAAAGTCCAAGTACCTGGAAATTCACAAGCCCCCTGCTCTTTGATTTTTTTTTTTTGTCCCTTTCACTAGACTCCTTTTAGTATTATTTATCCACCACCAAAGAAAACAAAAACCAAAAAAACAAAAACAAACCCAAAAAACAAACAAAACAAAACAAAACAAAACAAAAACCCGGTGCTTTTTTTTTTTTCTTAAAAAAAAAAAAAAAGTGGGAAACGCATAAAGTGACTTTAAAAACAGACATTCTGTAAACTCCAGACCTTTGTTCCTTCTCTCTGGGCAGCTCAGTGACCACACGCTAAGAGGGAACAGTACATTCAGTCAAGACTGTGCTGGAAGCTGTGTCAGAGAGCAACCTTCCCTACTACTCCAAAAGAGTCACCCCTGTGTGGGGGGAAGTGCTGGGGAGGAGGGGGTGCCTGAGAAGAGGTGAGGTAGGGCGGGGAGTAGGTGAGACTGGGGTATGGAAAAGATATGCCTCATTCAGCAATATGGATTAATGCAAAAATACCCATATCTTTGAGGAAAATTTGGACAGAGATGAGTGCATGTGTGTATATGCGGGTATACATACATACATATATATGTGCATGTATACATACACACACCTATGTAGATACAATCTCATCAGTTACGTTTTTCATAAAAAATAAATCATTTAAAGCTTATATACCTACAAATTCTCTTTATGCCGGTGCACTGCACTGGATAGCCAAGTACCTTAGAGATTTTATTGTGTGTATGTATGTTGCATATATGTATACATGTGTGTATATACACCTACATACATACACACACCCCCCAAGTACATAGATCTGAATTCTACCTGTTGTGTTGGGGATGGCAAAGGATGAAACACGAGCCTGCTTTCCCATCAGTGGGGGGGGGGGGGGGGGGGGGGGGGGGGAGGAGAAATGGGTATGAGTGAGAGAAAACAAAAAGATGGTAAAAGGTGGCTGGTTGAGGCCTGCCTTTCCGGAAGAAGATTTTGAAAGAGATGGGAGAAGGCTTAGAGAGAAGGGCGTGGAGAGGGAGAAAGGGCAGAGGGCAAACTCAGGAACGTGGAGTTTAAAAAGTGGGGTTGAGGAAATCTGTTGGTTAAAAGGCAGGCTTAGTGATGGCCGCTCCTTCTCCCCGCAGATCAAACTGCCCTGAGGCCTAAGAGGGAAGCGCTCGGAAAAGGAGGGGTGCTGAGAGGCCAAACCCTAAACGGCGGTAGCAGCACCGCGGCGGCGGCATCCGAGGCATTTCTGTAAGAAACATTATTTCCGAGCAGATGGAAGACCGTCTCATCCGGCCACGTGCAGGCCCCCAACCTGGGACATTCCCCCAGCGGCCTGGGGACCCGATGTGGGGAAGAGTTTGGGGTGGACACAGCCCAGCTCAGCTCAAGAGTCACACACACACACACACACACACACACACACACACAC